TCTATCTATCTATCTATCTATCTATCTATCTATCTATCTATCTATCTATCTATCTATCTATCTATCTATCTATCTATCTATCTATCTATCTATCTATCATAATCAGACATATACACGGTGGAGATACAGACAGAAAATGCAGACAACCTTTTGTTTTTTCATAATGCAACATTTTTATTTAATCAGCCGTTAAAGCTTGTTTTGTTGAGCATGGCATTCAGTTTAATATTGCTAATATTCTGTAAACGGCTTCAATATCCTTTATTTATCGACCACAGGGTCTCAGGAAATTACATTTCTTAAGAACTGCATTTGAGCAGGCCAATTTAGCTTGTGTCTTGCTTTCAGAGGCTCCTCTACGCAATTCAAGACCCTGAGCGTGACTCACGCTCCAGTGAGTATTGTTACACTATCACCATTAGCCAACATTGAAATAAATAAAATAAAATCTGTTTTATTGTTTTCCTCTTTTACACTGTACAAGTAATTATTGGTGAGCAGTTGTTGAACACTATACGAAACACCCACCTGATCTGACAAGAGGCTCCACTTCACCTGTGGTTGTCTGGTCCCTTTATCGCTACAGCTAACTGCTACTCTGGCGCAACATTGTTTTTGTTTTCATGTAATAACAATGCTTGAAATGAGATGGTTTCAAGTAATAATTCACTGTAATTATTTACTGAGGCCCAAATGAAATGTTCAGAAGTAGGACATCAGTCACTTTCTAAAGCGATTTCTAACGATTTGAAAGTTACTTTCCAAAATGTCCCCTTATTTAACTACCAACATTAAAAACAGCCGCATTTAGGTGCCCCAGCGCTGGGATTGTGGTATTGTTCTTACTAGCATGAATCGTTAGTCATCAGTGGCAGCAAGGCTTCTCCTTCTGATGGAGACAAAGCAGCAGGAGCTTTGAGTTACTCTGGATGAACTCAGATTTAGAGGAGACACAATTCAAGAATAATGCTCAAACTCCTACTCATTAGATCATAGGTGTCAAACTCTGGCCCGCGGGCCAAATTTGGCCCGCAGCCTAATTACATTTGGCCCGCGAAGCCATTCCAAATTACTATTAGAGCTGGCCTACTGGTATTATACAGCTAACATATATATATAGTTTAGTATTAAGCTTTGCTTGTTCCATATTCAGTTTTTCAGCAAAACGTGTTTGAGTCCATAAGAAAAAATTCATTCTTATATCTGGAGCAATAAATATATTTCAATAAATATTAATGTTAGCCCACGACTTTGTTCCAGATTTGAATTTTGGCCCACTGTGTATTTGAGTTTGACACCCCTGCATTAGATCATTCATGGTCCTTTCAGACATGCTTCGGAAGTTTGTGCAATTACACTGATACGTGAATGATTAACAGCCTTTGGGGGTCATAGAAGAAAAACAAAATGAAGAAAAAGGTTAACAGGGGGTATTAAAAGATAACTGACACCCAAAGACCTATTATTTTTCACTGATGTACTGTAACTCCTCTGCAGTTTTGCAGTTCTTCATGGCTGAAACTGCAATTACAGCCTGAAATCTTTTATAAATGATGACAACCATTAATGAACCTGGCCCTATTTATGCATGAATTAGGCAAACACACTAAATGCCTGCTCAGAAGACTCTTTTTAAAGAAAAATAAAAGTCTGCTTGTATTTGTACTCAAAGCAGCACACTGAAAGATGAATTTCACTGTTAATCATTGGGGAAAGAGGGGAATCTAGATTTTATGTTACTGTACTTGTTGTATTTTTCCTTGAACTCCAATTGTGTTCTCTGAGCTTCAGGTTCCCTGTTAAGCTGTCAGATGAGAAAGCATTAAAGAGGTGTCGCTTTACAACATGTTTAACATGTGTGTGTGTGTGTGTGTGTGTGTGTGTGTGTGTGTGTGTGTGTGTGTTCTCTAAGCTTCAATTTATGATCTTTTTCTCAGCATGAAGCTAAACTGCTGCTCCCTGAATGTCACCTGTCTTTCTTAAATTTCCCATATCTTCATGTCATGGCTTGTCGGCTTTATCCCTCAGTAGTTGGTGCAGCTCTGCTATTGTTCAGTAAGCTTCTTCTTCATTCCTCAAGCATCCTCACTCTCTAGGACTGTGTCCTCTCTCCCAGACATCTCCCACACCTTCACAGGTTTGTCATGTGGACAAACTGCCTTTCCACTCTGTATCTTTTTCACATCTGCCCTCACTTCTTCTTTGTAATTCCTCTGCCCTTCCTGATTCACTAACTGTCCTCCATCCATAACCCCATTTTTGCACATTTTCTTCATTCAGCTCCACAAAGTAGTCCCTTCATCTTCTCAGCACACTCTCTTCACTTGATGATACATCACCATCTGTATAACCTGCTGCACATCCTTTCCAGCACAGTCCCGTTGCCTTGCCAATCAAATCTTTTTCTCAACCCCTTTTCTCCTGCCTTAGTGTCCAGCCTCACATACAAATCACTATACGACTTTTCCTTTGCTTTTACCACCTCTCTCCCTGTCATTTGCATGGTCTCTCAGTACTCCCGCCTACTTTCTTCATCTCTCTAAAGTATTCATACTGCATTTCACTGAGACATTTGGTGGTGGTCTCTGGTACACCCTTAGACCCCTCAGGAGAGTGAAAGCTACAACTGAAGCCTTTCCAAAATGAGCAATGCCAGTTTTCTGAAGAAGACTAGAGAATAGTTTTTGATTCATTTCGATTGTAACAACAAATCCAGAGGGATTCAGAGTAATCTCAATGAGGCCATTTCTGTTCATTCTGACTATTTATCAGAAACTGTGGAAACAACAATTTATAGTGTGTATGTTGCTCCCAGATATGAGGTGAATCATACTCCC